GTAATCAGTCAGAAAGTCGACCCCGGTTTGATCCCATTTCTAAAGACAACAATGGAAGTCATGTGACTACCATATTTGGGCATTTTTTTTTTTCCTTTTTTGTTCAACTGAAACGAGTCGGTTTCATTCAAAAAGTCATATCAAATGAAACCAAAGCGTGCTGTACGTTATAAATGTTGTTAACTTTTTATTCAATATGACTTGGATTGAGAGTTGTCTCACTGGCACTCATACCACATCTTCTTATTTATTTTGATAAAATGCACTGAATTAGAATACGAAGCATTCAAACCCGAGCTCGTCACTCGTCGAGGCAATTTTTTGCAACAAAGAAGTTGAAATTTCTTTCTTAACTTCTGGGCAACCTATGCTAAATTTAAATTATGTGATGATACTTTTTATGTGTCAAATTTGTGCCACTTAATACGCTGTAATACGCAAATGTGCCACTTCGATCTGTCAAGTAATAACAGAACATTCATTTGTGAACTATCACCGTTCCTTCATTAAAGACTATGCAAACATTTCAGCACCTCTGTATGAAGTCACAGGGAAAAAAAACCTTTTGGAGCCACCTTGAAGCACACATTACTAGTAGCTCCAGTGCTAGCCTTACCCAATACACCAGATATGTTCATTTTGGACACATATGCATCCCAGAATGCTATTGGAGCTGAGCTTATACAAGTCTAAAATGGAGAAAAAGAACCATAGCATATGGTAGTTTTATCATGACACCTGAGTAGAAAAAATACTGCACTACACGGAAGTAATTATTGGCCGTGATAAGTATGGTTCACATGGCTTTTTCGCCACTATTTACTAGACAAAGAGTTTATAGTAGTGAGAACTGACCATAGTAGTCTTACTAGGCATATCAATTTCAAGGAGTCACAAGGACAATTAGCCAGATGGCTAGAAGAGCTTAGCCAATATGATATGATCATAAAACAAGGCCGTCTACATGCGAACGTAGACGCCTTGTCTAGACCATCAGACTCGTTGCCAGAGTGTATACACTACAGGCCGATTGTAAAACTAAAACAGTTACCTTGTGGAGGGTTTGCCTATTGCCAACGTACCCACCGAAATTGGACCAGATTGCTTACAGCAATAGACGAAGTTATACCTTTGGCTAATACACGAAACGGACAGAAGCCACTTACAAATAAGTCTACCGCCATGTTACACCTGTTTTCAACAACAACACCTGAGACCTTGGCTCCACCCCAAGCTCCAGATACTATTGAACTTGAAGTTGTCCCTGTTTTACCTGATGTGTACTGCAACCTCGACCTCACGGTCTTTGCACCTATTCTGAATCAGAAGGAAGTAGTTGACACATGGTTTTCGACACATATTGAATTGATATGTTCACCAACAACAGCTCAGATTATCGTTAGTGATGAAAATTCTTGCCTCTTAGCAGCTACTAGCATAACACCGTCAGAGGGTATAAATTTCTTAGGTTTCATAACCAATTAAATCAAGACTAAACAGTCAGAAGACCCTGATCTGCTATTTTTACTAAATTGGTTAAAAGACAAAGTAGAGCCAACACAGAACACATTGTTTTCAGCTTCTCCAGCTGTCAAGAGTTACTGGATTAACAAGGATAAATAAGACAAAGAATGGACACGAGAATATCTTGATGTTGGTAGACCAGTTTACAAAATGTGTATAGCACAGGCGGCTATCAACGAGTTTTTCTCCAGATTTGAATATCCGTTTGAAATTTTCTCAGACCAAGGTCGAAATTTCGAGAGTTAAATGTTTAAAGCAGTTTGTGATCTCCTGCAGATACATAAAGCCAGGACTACACCTTATAGACCTTCAGCTAATGGCCAGGTAGAACGCCAGAACCGCAGTCTAATGGATGCTGTGAGATGTTTTGTGGACCAACAGCAGGAAACCTGGGATAAAAATTTGCTCAGTTAGCAGGGGCTTTGAGAGCTAGTGTAAACAGGAGTACTGGTTACACCCCAAACTAGTTAATGTTGGGCCGGGAGACAATTCAGCCAGCTGATTTGATATTTGGTAAAACTGAGGAACCCAAGTACACTGGGACTGAGGAGTATACTTATAGGCCTTGTAAAATCTATTAAGAGTGCTCATGAGATAGCAAGGAACACCTTAAAAACAAGCCAGGCTAAAATGAAGAAAGCTTATGACCTTCAAGTATTAGAACGGCAAATACGCGGCCGGTGACCGCGTGTATGTTTTAGATACAGCGCAGATAAAGGGTAAGAGCAAAACATTGAGCTCACCGTGGAAGGGGCCTGGTATGATTATAGGTAAAATCATTCCCTATGTGTACAAGGTTAAGCTTCAAAGAGTGGTATTCAACACAAATCATGACAGGCTGAAGCTATGCAAGGACAGGAATATTCCTGCATGGCTGCAGACCTGCCATGAACAGTTTACCCAAGGTACAGATTTCCTTGCCCCAAGAGTAAAGACTAAGGCAAAACAATGTTGTTTGTGAGGGGCCTTGATATAGGTGAAACAATGGTGCAATGTGACCAGTGTAAAGAATGGTTTCACCTACAACTTGTATATGATTATCTGTCGAAGAGGCAGAACAGATAGAAAAATACATCTGCTCAAAATGTAAACTCATTAATAGACCACTTCCCCCAACAGATACAGGGGGAGAAGTAAATGTACAATAAGGCCAACCACTAATAACCTTCTCCTTTTGTCTTTCCAGTATGTCAGAAAGAATCCACAGACTCTGACCAAGCCAAAGTGTGGCCAGTAGAAGGAGAAGAAGTTAAAAGAGTGGTGGAACACTAATAACAATCAGAAGAGGGTAGTCCTTGATCAACCCATGCTGGGTAGAGGAGCGAGGGGCCAAACCTTACTGTTACCGGTCGGGCGCCGGACGGGGATCCGGGTTCGTTCTAGTGTCGTCCCTAGAACCAGAGGAGCAGGTGGGTGAGGAAGTGCCTCAGGCAGACCCACAGGGTACAGAATCCACGCTGGCAAAAGAGGAAACTAAACCAGATGCCAAACTGGCAGAACCAAGGGCTGTTAGCTTACAAGAAGTTTCAACCCAAGCTGGGGCGGGGGCACAGGCTGAACCCAATTGGTACATTTGTCCTAGGAACCGTACTTCTGAGCGCCCCTGGTTGACAAGTCAGAGGGACCAACACTGTCCAGTGAGGGGATGCCCAGTGGTGACCCGCAATGTGCGCCGTCACGTCTTAGGAGAGCACCTGAAATTCATGTTTGATGTCCGACAAGAAGCTAACCTGATGAGGCACCGTGGGTATCATCAATACCGATGACAGATAATCATCGTTCTGGTACAGTGGCTCACCCGTTGTGAAGACGCCACATATTATGACTTGCTAAACATCTTGAGGAAACAGGCTAGAGTGCCAAGTGGATACCACCAGACTGGGGAGGACATTCCTGTTCTCAGGACCGTTTGTCGGGAAATGGGTTGGCCTACATCAGCCTGGTTTCGTATACAGCCTGTGGCAAGCATAACCAGGCCAGTATGTATCCTGCATTGGAGATTGATGGCATCAGCTACCGCCTTCTGCTCCAGCAGGAATTAAGGTGTCCACAACTGGGCTGGGAGCCTGGTACAACCTATGGTTCATGGCGTGTATTATTCCGTCACATAAAGGACTTAAATACTTGTGAAAGGACTTAAATACTTGTGAAAGGACTTATATACTTGTTTAAAGGACTAATATCTAGCAGAAGCATTTTTTAAATTTTATGCTTCGACCGTTCGCCTCACATCCCATGTACAGTGTACACTTCGTTCCAATAGTTCAACCGACAGGACTTGGTAGCACCATCATGACCACTGTATATAGTAGTGTTTCTAGTAGTATCGTAATTTAATTGTTAATGAGGTGATGGAGGGATTTGGACCACAGGTCCCGGGTTAGGGGAGGGTTGAGCACTCGCAGACATGTTTAATCCGATCACATTATGTATGTCCTCTATGCGCCTCTCTCACTTATTAATAATTTCAAATAACAAATTTTGCAGAAAAAAAAAAGTTTCTCAAGTTTGTCAATGATCGTCATTTCAAAAGTGAGGCATTTGCCTCGTTTGCCTCCATTACGCTATAATACGATCTTATAGAGACAAATTAATACATAGAAAATTCATATAAAAACAATATATAACACTATCATAATATTTTGACTAGTGAATCCAATATCGTTATCTTACCGGATGATGTCAAATTAGTAAAGCATACGATTTCTCCAAAATCTGAATACCCGATTACCGGGCGCGCTTGGGGGAAAATGTAAGTTAGAGGTAAAATTACAGACAAAAAATGGTCCTCTTGCTCCTAATTCTCAGGAACCCTCGGAACAGCCCCCCATACCCCCCCCCCCCCCCCCAAAAAAAAAAATAGCACCAAATCATGGATCCGTGCCTGATTATAAACTGGGTTATCACGAAAGTAATATATAAGGACTTCGTTCGTCAACAGTTCTCCTGCCTCTTATTACAAATAATTTAGATGTACTACTATTTACGACTACAAGTACAAGACTCTTCCATTCCTTTCAATTCGGGTGTTGGAATTTTTTATTTACAGCCTAAATGTTCCTAAACGTCAATCATCAGTACTAGAAAATCTCTGTCAATACATTTAATCGTTATCTTGGTTCACTGGTATATGAAGTGTATTAGTCAAATAAAGGTTGATGTACAGATCTGTAGCTATGATTAGTTTAAGTACACCCCAAGGGGGCGTTTTTCGGGGTCCACATAAGGATAATTTGTTACTAGTATTGTTTTTCTTTGAAAAATTTAGAACTTGAATAAGACCTTAGCTTTCTAGCAAGACTAGATCATGACGATTCGATATTGACAATATTAATCATTGAAAATGTCGGCATTATATAACCGACCTATTAGTTCTATTTGTATTTTAAAAATAGAAGGTGTACGTTAATATGGTTATCCTAGTTATCAGTAAATAGTTCCATCTGTTTATCAAGTTTTGACAGAAATTTCCCTACCTTAATTTCAGGTTCGAGTTCAGAATCCAAATCTTCTTCATCAATGTCACAAAGACAGGTATTTTCACTATTTAACATATTTCAAGTGAAATATACATCGATATGGCAACATGTGTTTAAGTTAAGTAAATAATATCACCTGATACAATCACGTCTGTATTTAAAGTGGGTTAAATGTAAAGTACTAAAAAGGTTAAACATTTCCTTATTTAATTTGATTTGTCAAATAGTAAATTTTAGTTAGGAATGTGAGAGCCACTTGCTGAAGAGTTGTATTCTTTGTTCGATCAAATGTTGTAACGAAGTCACTACCTTGTCTTATTATTCCACAGACTGGTATCAAGACGTTGAAATTTAACACCAAAAAATGGAACTCTTTATTAAAGAAGGTAAAAATGGCCAAGTTACTATATTTGAATTATTTACTTCTGTTTCTATGGCCTTTAAAAGTTAAATGTAGGTGCATAATTTATGGTTTTTTTTGCGTGTTACATGTTTGAACCCAAATTATAGTATGAAGCATCGACAAATTTGTAAACGTTTCAACTAAAGACAAATTTCACAAATGGAAGATTATGGTAGGTGCTAAATGTGTAATACATTTTGGATCTTTAATTTGCATCAGCATAAATTCCACAAAAAGATAAAAGATTGATCGTTTTAAAGCATTTTACATTTCTGTCCCTGATAGAGTGTTTTTGGAAAAAATCCTAAAAATTGGCAATAATCTAATCGAAAAGAGGAAGTCGGGTTCACCTTTTTACGTTCAGGGAGTTATGTTTTGTAACATGATTTTGTAGAACTGAGCATGCCCAGTTTTACAGTTCTTTGTAGAACTGGACATGCATTGTTTTACAATTTTCATACGATCTGTACACACCAGACTCAAGCTAGCGAACAATAAGCCAGCAAACAATAAGATGCATCCAGCTAGCGAACAATAAGCATGCGAACAATAAGAAAACGCGCCAACCTGATCATGCCTGAAAACCGAAGACTTGTAATATCATGAAACGTCCTTTGAAATCTGATGACAATCATTTCCAGTAGGAAGACGAAATGCAATTCATTTTCACAAATACAAAATTGATTAGGTATTTGTTTATTTAATACAACTTTTGTTTAAAAGTTTAAAAATTCCTTTTAGCTAATCCTTTCTCTTTTTAGTGTTCTCTAATTAGATATAGGTTTGTCGTCTTTATTATATTGAAACAATATACTAAACTAGTGTAACGATAGAATTAAATCTTCTAGCTTATATATGCGTTTAAAAAGAAAAGAAAAAAACAGATTTAATTTGGAACGTCAAGTATTTTTTATCAGATTTTCAGTTGAAATAAAAGCTGATAACTATACGCAGTTTTCTTCTTTTGTCAAAGAACTAGTAACTTTTTTAAATTATTCAAAAGTATGTCGTTAAACTGATAATTTATTTATTTTATTTCGTTAGGCAGAGTGATAAGTGTAAGAGTGACACACAAATAGAACGAGAAATGAATTGATGAACGATGTTTGTTAATCTAAACGTCAAAATTTAACGAATCCAAGATTATTACAACTTTTCAAATAATCACAAATGATAGGCAATGGCCTAAGGTTGTCTGAACCAAAAGAACCCGGGTGGGTAAAGTTAAGGAACTTCTAAAACTGAAGCCCAAAGTTCGGGTATTGACCCCTACCCCCTTCCAATTTTAATTCGTTGAAAATTCCCTACGGCAAAGCTTTTGTATACACTTGGTACAAATGATAGACAATGGCCTAAGGTTGCCTGCACCCAAAGATCCAGGTGGGTAAAGTTACGAAACTTCTACAACTGTGGTCCAAAGTTTGGGTATGGAGATCCTACCCCCTCCAACTTTAATACGTAAACAATTCCCTACGACAAAGCTTTTGTCCATACTAGAAAAAAATGATAGGCAATGGCCTACGGTTGCCTGGAGCCAAAGACCCAGGTGGGTAAAGTTACGAAACTTCTACAACTGAGGTCAATAGTTTGGATATGGAAAACCTACTATCTCCCAACTTTAATTCGTAAAAAAAATTCCTTACGACAAAGCTTTTGTCCACACTTGGTACAAATGATAGACAATGGCCTAAGGTTGCCTGCACCCAAAGACCCAGGTGGGTAAAGTTACGGATTTTCTACAACTGAGGTCCAAAGTTTGGGTGTGGAGACCCTACCATCTCCCAACTTTAATTCGTAAAAAAAATTCCTTATGACAAAGCTTTTGTCCACACTAGAAACAAATGATAGGCAATGGCCTAAGGTTACCTGGACCCAAAGGCCCAGGTGGGTAAAGTTACGAAACTGCTACAACTGAGGTCCAAAGTTTGGGTATGGAGATTCTACCCCCTCCCAACTTTAATACGTAAAAAATTCCCTACGACAAAGCTTTTGTCCACACTAGAAACAAATGATAGGCAATGGCCTAAGGTTGCCTGGACCCAAAGACCTAGGTGGGTAAAGTTACGAAACTTCTACAAATGAGTTTGAAAGTTTGGATATGGAGAACCTACCACCTCCCAACTTTAATTCGTAAAAAATTCCCTACGGTCAAGATTTTGTCCAAACTAGAAAAAAATGATAGGCAATGCCTTAAAGTAGCCTGGACCAGATGGCCCAGGTGGGTAAATTTACGGACTTTCTGCAACTGAGTTCCAAAGTTGAGGTATGGAGAACCTTCCCTCTCCAAACTTTAATCCGTAAAAAATTCCTTACGACAAAGGTAACTAGTGTCACAAATAGAAATTGCATTAAATTTCCTTTAGATTTTTATAGGGAATATTCTTATTTTTATGTTCAATAGTTTGGACATTTTGGAAATTTAATTTTATATTTGGCTTAAAATATTTGGAAGTTTGGTTCACAAGTTTTCTTTCACTTTATTATCTATCTTAAACAGAAATATAAGGTGTAAATCTGCTAAACAAAGAAAAGATTATTTTCAAGTTATCTTGTATGTATTATCTCGTCTATGAAAAAACAAGGCGGTAGATTAAATTATGTAATGTCCATTAGTTCTTTTGTAGGGGTTAACAAATAAATACTTTATGTAATTAGACGTCTTTTGACAAGTTTAGTTAATAAAGAAGGAAATAGAAATAGTCACATTGACAATGAGTGGTTTTGCACGTGGTACAATAATCTGCCACTTTTACAAGAAAAATTTTGTAAAATAAATTTTGATTGGCTGAAAACCTGAAAATTAGTTTAAATTCATGGATTCACTTTTTTTGCTTGATTAGCGTCACTCTGCCATACGCTATCAAGCGGTAAAGACTCTTTTTTTATTGAATCCTTGGTTTTGACTATTTTCAGGCCTGCCAAAGACAATTGTGTCAGCTCTCTTTAAGAAGCACGCAGCACCTGAAATTTAGCTCACCACATAGTTCATCACCCTGCTTGCTCTACCCACCCATCAATTACATAGAAAAGTTAGTTGTGTCAACTGGTGGACGACCCAAAAATCCCGGTTATATATATAAACTCATCATAGATACCAGGATTAAATTTTGTATTTACGCCAGACGCGCGTTTCGTCTACAAAAGACTCATCAGTGACGCACGAATCCAAAAAAGTTAAAAAGGCCAAATAAAGTACGAAGTTGAAGAGCATTGAGGACCAAAATTCCTAAAAGTTTTGCCAAATACAGCTAAGGTAATCTATTCCTGAGGTAGAAAAGCCTTAGTATTTCAAAAATTCAAAAGTTTTGTAAACAGTTAATTTATAAATATGACCATATCAATGATAATTCATGTCAGCACAGAAGTGATGTGAGCTATTGGCTGAGATCTGCAAACATGCCACATTCAATGAATGCCAACAATGGAGAGGCACCCTTGATACAGATTTTACCCGAGGAAGTGGTACAGGTCCATTTGCCAACCATGAGCACCAAGCTCCAGCACCAATTGAGCCTCAACCAGCTCCAGAGCAGGCTCAACAGATACCAGAGCAACAACAAGCTCCAGCTCAGCACATTCAGGCACTTCAACCAGCTGTTACCATACCACCACAAATTCATGCTGCGGCACCAACTCAACCTTCAGTTCAGCACCAATCAAATAACCAGGGTAGAAGTAAGGTACATGTCAATATGACTCATTTCAATGGAAACATGGATGCTGCACAGTGGTGGACCACATTTATATCTTTTATAACCCTTCAGAGATATGAAGAATGGGAAGAAATATTGTGCTTTCCATTCTACTTAGATGGTATTGCTAATCAGTGGTGGCACTTGTTAGACATTTCAGCTCATAATTCATTAGGTCATTTTTTTTAAACAGATTTAGAGCGTTAGAAGAAGACGATGTAGGTTTGACAAATCTTGGACAATTAGAACATGAATCTGTCACTGAATACATACATAGGGCATTAAGTTACAACAAAGATAGAAGTGTTGTAGACAAATATCTGATTAAATTAACTTATAGGGGTATGAAAGAACAAATTCAGCAAATAGTTATTCCTCAAAATCCAATTTCTATGACTGACTTACTTAAAAAAAGCTGTCACCGCCGAAATGACAGTCAATATGAGAAAAACAAACAACACTTCAGTTGAAGATACAATCCATAAAGCAATATCGTCACTGGAGAACACTATGTCAGAAAGATTGGCAAATCATTTTCAATCTGTTGCAGCTATTACAACACTGCCACAAAATAAGCAAGACATAACTAATTCAAGTGCTTATAATTAACAAATGTGTTTAAATCCATATCAACAGCCTTTTCAGATGCCACCGCCATATATGTATCAACCAGTACAGCAGCAATCAGTTCAGTATCCACAAGCAGTGCAATACCCTCAGCCAAACATGCAACCACAGAACAGTTACAGCAGACCAAATCATACTAATAAACAGAATGAACCCTGTAAAGGCTGTGGTAAGTCTTGTAAGTCAAGGTCATTATGCCCCGCTTTTAAAAAGAGTTGCCATCATTGTAAGACCCCTGAGTGAGTGAGGTCATTTTATATCTGTATGTTCCGAGCGAATTAAGGCAATGTCACAAATAGAAATTGGGTGTATCTTGTGACTGGATAATGTGTTGGCCTGGAACCACACACACACAATAAACAATACGACTAGTCTGTACCGCCTCTAACTCTGGGACTAACACTTGCAACAAAAGATGACTC